AAGTTCCTGACACCAAGGCCCAGCCAAGGCTCAGGAACGGGCGGCAACGCAACAATCTCTGAACACCAAGGCTCCCAAGAGCGAGGGGTGACGTAAGAAGCTCTCAACGCCAAGGCTCCCGGTACGAACGGTGGTGTGAGTAATTTCGGTTTCTGCTTCTGAAGCGCTCTTTCCGTTCCTGTGCCGGGCCAGGTAACGGAAAGAGCGAGGTACGAGCGATGACGTTGTGTGTTGGGCGAAGCCCCTTAAGGGGGGGGTCCAGGGGGGGGTAGCGCGGCCGTTTGCGGTGTAATGGCCGTTTTGGGGGTTTTCCTTTGGGTTTTTGTATGTTTTTCGGATTCTCCTTCAAAACGGCCCAAGAGCGCCCCAAGAGAGCCCAAGACAGCCCAAGACGGCCCAAGAGGTCCCCAAGAGGCACCCAAGAGGCGCCCAAGGGGCGTCCCAACAGGCCCCAAGAGGCCAACATCATCGATTTCCTATGGGGCAACATACATTTTTAGCATCTACGGCTTTTCGCCTTTCACGGCGTTGACGACGGCCCAACAGGCCCCCAAGACCGCCCCACGGCGGCCTCAGAGGCTCCCAAGAGGCCCCCAAAACGGCCCAAGGGGGGCCCAAGACGGCCCAAGAGGCGCCCAAGACGGCCCAAGAGGACCCCAAGACGGCCCCAAGAGGGGGACCACGAACCGAAAAGTCTAGCCTATCGCCCCAAGACGCTCCCGGGAGGCCCCCACAGCCCCCCAAGCAGCCCCAAGAGGCCCCCAAGAGGCGTCCCACGAGGTCATCAGGAGGCCAAAATCATAGATTTTCTATGGGAAATCGTGCATCTTTAGCATACACGGCTTTTCGGTTTTCGCGGCGTTGACGACGGTCCAAGAGGCCCCCAAGACCGCCCGAAGACGGCCCAAGAGGCTCCCAAGAGGCCCCCAGAACGGGCCAAGAGGGCGCCAAGACGGCCCAAGAGGCGCCCAAGACGGCCCAAGAGGTCCGCGAGACGGCTCCAAGAGGGGGACCACGAACCCGAAAAGTCTAGCCTTTCGCCCCAAGATGCTCCCAGGAGGCCCCCACATTCCCCCAAGAAGCCCCAAGAGGCCCCCAAGAGGCCCCCAAGAGGCCACCAGGAGGGCTCCAAAAGGGCCCCAATAATTAGGACTCCCACGAAGGCCCAGAGACGCCACGAGCGATCGGTAACGCAAAAAGCTCTTCACACCAAGGCTCCCAAGAGCGAGCGGTGACGTAAAAAGCTGATAAGACCAAGGCTCCCAGCAGAGAGCGGTGACGTACTAAGTTCCTGACACCGAGGCCCAGCCAAGGCTCAGGAACGGGCGGCAACGCAACCATCTCTGAACCCCAAGGCTCCCAAGAGCGAGGGGTGACGTCACAAGCTCTCACCACCAAGGCTCCCGGTACAGACGGTGGTGTGAGTAATTTCGGTTTCTGTTTCTGAAGCGCTCTTTCTGTTTCTGTGCCGGGCCAGGTAACGGAACGAGCGAGGTATGAGTGATGACGTTCTGGTGTGGGCGAAGCCCTAAAGGGAGGGGTTCCAGGGGAGGGGGGTAGCGTGCGCATTTGAGTGTTAATGGCCGTTTTGGGGGTTTCCCTAGGATTTTTGCATGTTTTTCGGGTTCCCACCCAAAACGGCCCAAGAGCGCTCCAAGAGAGCCCAAGACCGCCCAAGACGGCCCAAGAGGCCCCCAAGAGGCCCCCAAGAGGCGCCCAAGAGGCGTCCCAAGAGGCCACCACGAGGCCATCCTTAGCATCTGCGCTTTGTCGGCTTTCACGGCGTTGACGACGGCCCAAGAGGTCCCCAAGACCGCCCCAAGACGGCCCAAGAGGCTCCCGAGAGGCCCCCAAAACGGCCAAAGAGGGCCCCAAGACAGCCCAAGAGGCGCCCAAGACGGCCCCAGAGGGCCCCAAGACGGCCCCAAAAGGGGGACCACGAACCGAAACGTCTAGCCTTTCGCCCGAAGACGCTCGCAGGAGGCCCCAAGGGCCCCCCAAGAAGCCCCAAGAGGCCCCCAAGAGGCGTCCCAGGAGGCCCCCAGGAGGCCAACATCATTAAATTCCTGTGGGGAAAGGTACATTTTTACCGTGCACGGCTTTTCGGCGTTCACGGCGTTGAAGACGGCCCAAGAGGTCCCCAAGACCGCCCCAAGACGGCCCAAGAGGCTCCCGAGAGGCCCCCAAAACGGTCAAAGAGGGCGCCAAGACGGCCCAAGAGGCGCCCAAGACGGCCCCAGAGGGCCCCAAGACGGCCCCAAGAGGGGGACCACGAACCCGAAAGTCTAGCCTTTCGCCCCGAGACGCTCCCAGGAGGCCCCCACAGACCCCCAAGAAGCCCCAAGAGGCCCCCAAGAGGCCCCAAAAAGGCTCCCAAGAAGGCCTAGAGACGCCAAATAGAGAGCGATCGGTAACGCAAAAAGCTCTTCACACCAAGGCTCCCAAGAGCGAGCGGTGACGTAAACAAGCTGATAAGACCAAGGCTCCCAGCAGAGAGCGGTGACGTACTAAGTTCCTGACACCGAGGCCCAGCCAAGGCTCAGGAACGGGCGGCAACGCAACCATCTCTGAACCCCAAGGCTCCCAAGAGCGAGGGGTGACGTCACAAGCTCTCAACGCCAAGGCTCCCGTTACGAACGGTGGTGTGAGTAATCTCGGTGTCTGCTTCTGAAGCGCTCTTTCCGTTTCCGTGCCGGGCCAGGTCTACTGGCCAGCTTCCCTCGTATCTCGTCTGCGAAGCGGGCTCCGAGGCGGCACCGCTGGCTCGATTCCTCGTATTCTTCCAGGTGTAGGGGGCTCAAAGGGCCCCAGGACAGCTCAGGCAGGCCCCCCCAAAGCGGCCCCAGGGAGCCGGCGTTTCGACCTCGTTCGGACCGCGCCGGGGGCCTCCGCTGGACAGCGCTCGGACGATGGCGAGGGCCACTGCGTGCGCGTGCGTTGTGTCCTGAGATCCGATCGAAGGAACGGATCGAGGAGGAGTCGGAGGAGGAGGAGGAGGAGGAGGAAACGGAGGAGGAGGAGGAGGAGGAGGAGGAGGAGGAGGAGGAGGAGGAGGGATGTGGTGTTTTGCTTTCTGGCGGGTCAGGGTGGCGGTGATGTCGCGCAATACCCTGAGACCCTGATGCCGTAGCACCCTAAAATCCGAACACCATGAATTCTTGACGCTTCGCGTATCCCCACCAGCCCATCCAGAATCGAATGCCAGTTTTCTTGAGGCCTCTTTGGAGGCTATCTTGACCCATGTTCGGCTATTGGCTGTCGGAGGCTATCTTGAGCCATGCTCGGCTTTCTTGGGCCATCTTGAGGCTGCCTTGAGGTTTCTTGGAGGTCTGTCGGAGGCTATCTTGAGCCATGCTTGGCTATCTTAGGCCATTTTGAAGGCCATCTTTGGCTATCTAGGGCTCTCTTGGAGCTATCTTGGGCCAAAAAGGGCGGGGTGGAGGGTCTTTGGGAGAGGCTGCCAGGCCTCTTGGGGCCATCTTGGGCCCCATGTCTCAAAAAGAGGAGGCTCCTTAATGAGGATCCCCCCCACTCGGAGGCTCTCAAACGGGGTCTTGGAGCGCTCTTGGGCGCCTCTTGGGCGATCTTGGGGCCGTCTTCGGCCTTCTTGGGCCCCTCTAGGGGCCCTTTTGGGCCATCATGGTGCCATCTTGAGGCTTCCAACGCCCATCGGAAGCGAAAAGGCGAGAATGCCAAAACCATTGATTTGTCCTAGACTTCTGAAGGGTTTTGGCATCTTGGAGGGCGCCGTGGAGGGCTCGAAGGGCACTTGGATCCGTCTTGGGGCTGTCTTGGGGCCTCTTGGGGGTAGGTCGGATGCTATCTTGACCCATCTTGAAGTAACATGGGCCATCTTGGAGGTAATCTTGCGACTTTGAACGCCTCTTGGAGCAATCTTGGGCCATCTTGGACGCTCTAAGGCCTCGCGGCGCGCCCCTCCAGGCCCAGGGGAGGGGGTAGGGGGAGGGGTTTCAGTGGAAGAGAGAAGAAAAAAACGCGTTATACCACCTAAGCCCAGAGGGCTGGTGGGATTCACAACACCCTCAAGCCCTAACACCCGCAGACCGAAAATCCGAACGCCGTAACGCCCTAAGACCCTACGACCCTGACACCCTCAGACCCTAAGACACTCATACCAGAACACCCAAGTACCCGAATATCCTAACACCTTAACACCTTCAGACCCTAAGACCCTCACGCCCTAAGACCCTGAGGCCATAAGACCTTCACACCATCATACCTGAATACCCGAATCTACAGACCGTAAGTCCATATGACCCTAAGACCATCAGGCCCTGAGTCACTAACACCCTAGTACCGTAACACCCGAACATCCTAAAGCCTCAAAGCCATAAGACACTAAGACCCTCACGCCCTTAAACCAGGAAGCGCGAAAGCCCGAACACCCCAGCACCCTGATACTCGCACACCCTAAGCCTATACCACACTGAAGCCCAAACACCTTCAGATCCCAGGACCCTAAGGCCCTGAGAGCCTACAACCCAAACACGCTAACACCCTACGGCCCAAAAGGGCCCCAGGAGGGTACAAGAGAGCCCAGCAGAACCCTGAGGAAGCCAAACACATTGATTTCCTGGACGGCCCAGGACGGCCCAAGAGGCCCTCGAAGATCGTGCCAAGATGGCCCAAATGGGCTCCGCGGATGCCCAAGAGGGCCCCCGGACTGCCCCAAAGGGTTCCAAAACGGTTCCCCAAAGAGCCTCAAGTGGTCCCCAAGTGGGTCACAAGAGCCCCACGAGGCCCACCCAGGACGGTCCAAGAGGCCCCAAGACGGCCCAGAAGAGCCCCCAAAGGACCCCCAGGAAGTCCCAGAAATGCAAGATTCATTGATTTGTGCAAGGTTGTTCGCTAGATTTTAACATGTTGTGCCAACGCCTTAACACCAACAGGGCTCCAAGACACTAAACCAGCGACCTCGTGCTCTCGCAAAGTACGCGCGCTCCCCGTGCCAAACAGGTCAAATGGCCCAAATGTCTGTCAGTTTTGGCCCAAGATAGCCCACATCGGCCCCATCTGGCCATTTTAGCTCAAGGGCATCTTGAGCTGTCCTTGCGCACGGTGACAACTGACGATGGCGTGTCTTCGTCTGAACGTGCTTATTGCAGGCCTCAGCCTTTTGCTGGCCTTTCCTAGTGTGGTGGATGGTGACACGGACATAGACTCAAAGGGTGCCTACCTACGACAGTCTGGGGCAGTTGCGGACCACGCAGCCTCGGATCAAGTATCGTTTTTGTCACAGCGTCGCTTGGGAGAAGAATCAATGTGCCAGCAAAGCTGGCGGGATTCATGCCGAGACCTCAAACGAGATAAGGGGCCGTCAGGGTATTGTCTGATACAAAGTCCCTTTGAGCCTTGCTTCTGTGAGAACGGTTACGGTGCCGTGGACATCCAACGAATTCCCAACAGTTTGGGGTATTTTTATGAATACACCTGTTGTTTTGCGCAGGACGGCTTCGAATGTGGATCGTTCTCCCAGGAGAATCTGCAGCTCCTGGCAATCATTGGCCTCTCGAGTCTTGCCACTGGCCTGTGCGGAGGGGTCGTGGCAACCGTGCGGATTGTCTGGTGCCGACGAGGCCTCCGGAGGTCGGTGATGGCACGGATGAGCTTTGACGACCATGCCGTTGAATCAGCGCCCGTGGTGCGAGATGGTGCCCGCCTGCACAGCGAGGTGCCAATGGAGCGGTGGTGCGTGACCAAGGTCGATCTGCAGCAATTCCGGCGACTGGTGTGGAAGGCTGTTCAGGAGCGTCGAATTGTTCCCACCGGGCTCGATGGTTTCGACGCAGGCGACGACAGGATCGGCCCTTCTGTCCACACTGTGAACGACCAGTTCATAAAGCCCATTACGCATGCAGCCGGTAATGTGAGTTGGGCTTTGATGCGCCATCCTGAAGGTCTGCCTTGTGATCTGTTCATCACGCATAGTTGGGAAGAGGGCGTATTCGAATTGTGTGACAAGGTTTTGGGATCTTGGCCAAAGGGGACGAATAATGCGTACCTGTGCATGCTTTCCAACCCACAGAATCAGGACATCTCCGCTCTCATATCTAATCCCGCGAACTCACCTTTTGCCAAAGCCTTGAAGTCCGCCACGCACATGCTGGCGGTCCCGAATCGGAGGAGTAGTATCTACTCGCGAATATGGTGTGCCTACGAGGTCTTCCTGGCATACTCGTGGAACAAAGACATCAGCACTGCAAGGTCCCCAGTGCCAAGTTTCTGGCCCCAGCTTGCGAGAATCGGTTTCTTCTCTCTTTCAGGGGCAGGTGCGTGGTGCATCCTCGCGGCTAAGTCGAGATTCGAGAAGGCAGTTTCCCTAGTAGATGCACTTCAACTTCTGCCCCAAACAGTGGGTATGGTTTTGATTTCTATTTATTCGTTCTGGCGAAAGCGCCCAGATTCTGTCGTGGTTCGCATTGTCACCAAACTACTTGCGATCACAACTGGAGCAGTCGGTGCGCTATACGCCGTGACTAGTCCCCACCATGTGACAGCTTGGCTTGTCTTTGTTGCGATGTTCCTCGTGCCTGTTGCGCTCGAGGCCGATAGATTGTGGACATCAGCAGCAGCAGTCACAACGCAGCAGTTGCATAATGGGTTTACGGGCTACCTCCGTGACGCCCGCTGCTCAGTCTGGGCAGATGGGGTACGCATATGGGAAGAAATCGGATCCAGCTTTACAGAGAGGCTCGTTGAAAAAACGGTTGGAGACATCATGCGCATGGGTATGGTGACAGCACAATTGCGCCAATCCGAAGAATTGGCCGGGCCTCTCGGTGACGTCAGTATTTGGGGGTTCAGTATCGTTTCCTTGGGATTTACTTATTGTGCAATCGTAGCTACACAAGTGGAATCTGATGAGTGCGGTGGGCTGTTCGCTTGGGAGATTTGGCTTGTGCTCTTCGAAGGCATGTGCTGGACTATCGTCTTGGCGCGCTCGCCGCCAGATCGTGCATCTTTCATGACAGGCTCAATGTCATTAATCCTCGTATCAGCTCTCATGACATTGGTTGAATTCGGCCTAACAGATTATTTCTGCTATGCCAACTACATTACAGCCGTCTTCGTTGGCCCTGCAATTCTTGCACTATCAATTGCCGGGCCCGCGCGTGTTGCACAGGTGCCTATGTTTGGACCTGTGTGTGTTCGCCTGGTTTGGGGGTTTAAGGTTTGCGTCTGGCAGGATGGGCGTCTCGTATCCTATCGTGCAACGACACGGCGGGGCAGCCAGACCGACAATAGCAGTCTTTGATCGTCGTGGACTTAGCTGAAGTGCACATGTGACTGCGGGCTTCAGCGTGTGACAGGGCCCCTCTAGCATGCCACCTGGTTACGGTTGTGACTTTCTATGGATCGGACCGGCGATTTTCAGGATGTCCTGGCCCAACCGGCACCTGATGCATCCGGCTGCAGCCGCCTCAGGGGCGCTCGAGCTGTCTTGCGCAATCTTCTGGCACGTGCAGCCCGCGTGGCCTCGGCGCAGGGCCGAGTCGCCTGCCATGCACCAACAGCCACGATCTTGAAGGATGTTTAGCCACGCGCAGAGGGGGGTGGGAGAGGGAAGGGCTTCTGAGAAGCACCCCTGCTTCTTAGAAGGCGCGGGCCTAATCTACAGATGTAAGGCTGGCGCCTTCCAAGAAGCAACCTCCTTCTAAGAAGCCCTCCCCCTCCCTCCACCCCCTTGTGCGCGCCGCCAAGACGTCATGCTGCGAGTGCCGCCCGAGAGGATATTTTCTAGACGCTTCATGGCGCCAACATCGCAGAGCGGATTTCGTTCGGAAAGCAATCAGATGGGCCCGGAGTGTCCTTGAGAATTTCGGTCCGGATTTCGAGGTGAATTTCGTACGGTTTTTTTGGCCAGGAATGAAGACTAGAAAAAGTCCGCGTGAAGTTCACTGCGTTTTTCGCCGTTTCGGGGTTCTCCACCGCCAGGCTGCAGCACGTCTGCAAGGTCGGTGCAGTCTAGACGGTGAGATTCAGGACCGCTGTGGGCTCGGGAGGGGCTCGTGTTGTCGGACCGCTCCTTCGTTCTGTGTCGTGGAACCTGCTTCTGGCCTCTGCGCAGGGCCGGGTCGCCTGCCATGCACCAGCAGCCACGATCTTGCGAGGACGTCTTGCTGCGAGTGCCGCCCGAGAGGATGCCGTCCAGACGCTGAGGTGAAGGACCGCTGTGGGCTCGGGAGGGGCTCGGGCTGCCGCACCGTTCCTTCGTTGCCTGTGTCGTGGAGCCTGCTTGAGGGGTTCAGCCCGCCGTTGCCAGAGGAGCCCCTTCGGTCCTTGGCAGGCGCTCGTGACGTTGCGGTGGGGGCGTCCGTGTGAAGGAACGTGCCCGGGAGGCTTCAGACCCTGGGGGGGTCCTTCTCTGAGAAGGGCGGTCCAGACGCTGAGATTAAGGGCCCCTGTGGGTTCGGGAGGGGCTCGTGTTGTCGGACCGCTCCTGCGTTCTGTGTGTCTCTGGGCCTGCCTGTGGGGGCTTGGGCCGAGGAATAATGAGAAGAAAAGAAGGAGGAGGAGGCGGAGGAGGAGGGGAGGAGGAGGAGGAGGAGGAGGAGGCGGAGGAGGAGGAGGGGAGGAGGAGGAGGAGGAGGAGGAGGAGGAGGAGATGCAGTCCAGACGCCGAGACGAAGGACCGCCGTGGGCTCGGGAGGGGTATGGGCGGTCGGGCCGCTCCGTCGTTGTCCTGTGTCGAGGAGCCCGCCTCCGTGGGGGGCCTGGGCGCCGTGGCCGGAAGAGCCCCCACCTTCTTCGGGTGTTGCTAGAGAAGTGCCCCTGGCCCAGGGTGCCCCCAGGATTCTCAAGGTGGCCCAGAGGGCCTTCAGAGCACTCCTAGCGAGGCCCAGAGGGCCCCAGGGGTCTAAACATGGAGCGAAAAGCTGGGGGTGCCTTGGGCCAGGGGCACTTCTAGTAACACCCGACTTCCGCTCCTCAGCATCAAGTCGGGCGCGTCCCTCTACAGGAGGAATATTCAGGCATAGTCAGAAAATGGTGAAGGCAGAGTCCAAAAGTAGGCAAGCATGGCCAACACATAGTCAAAAACAATAGCAAACTACATAATCGAACGTAGTCAAACAATAGCCTGGGGACGCTGTGTTGACTATTGGGGTATGTCTTTCATATGTTTGGACTATGCTTATTATTGTTCGTCCAAGATCCGCATGTAGGGGGACATGCCCGATACAACCTTAGTATGCCTTCATTATGGCACGGTGGGGGCGTTCGTTCAGGAACGTGCCCAGGAGGCTTCAGACCCTGGGGGGTGCATCATCTGATGATGGTGGCGGTGACATCCATGGCCAATCCATGATTGACTTTCCACTGGCTTCCAGACCCTGGATTCCTGATCGAAGGCTTCCTTATCCAATGCCATTACCGCAACACGACGACTGTAGTGGCACTTCATCGCATTGAGACCGGTCTCTGGGCCTGCATCTGTCAGGTCGGCCCCGCACACCCCAGGTGTCCCAGCGACGGTTTCGTTCTTCCATGCAGTAGCACCTGGTGCCTTGCATTGTCCCGTGCCCCGCGCGCACTAGCTATCCCCGCGCAGGGCCGTGCTTTCCTTCTTGGGGGATCGGGAAGGGTCGTTCGTCGCGTCGCGGGCGGCGGGGGGGGGCGGAAGATGGAATGACAGTAGGTTCAGAGGTTTCAGTGCTGGGCTCGCGCCAATTCGCACTAATGTCAGTGGCTGTCTGTTGTACAGGGCCTCTGATACTTCTATGCGGAGCTCGCGCCAATTTGAACCAATTGGCAGTGGCTGTCCGTGGTCCAGTGCTGCAAGGCTCGCGCCACTTGACACTTTTCTCAGTGACTGTCTGTTTTGCAGGGTTTCTGAGACTTCTGTGCATGGCGTGTGCCAATTTGCACCATTCCCAGTGGCTGCCCAGCAGCACCTGGCCGCCCTCCCCCCCCCCTCCTGCCACTCGCAGCAACCTGCGTGGTAGGCAAACGCAGATGCGCGAGCCCGGCGCGTTCGTCAGGGGCGCTTACGCCCAGGTCGAAGCCAGAGCGGCGGAGTCGCGCGGTGCAGTTTTGTGCGGTTGGCACCAGCTGGTGCCCAGGACCCCCCCAAAAAAAACAACAACAGACAAAATACAAATATTTAGACATTTATATTCCTCTTCCCATATTTTTACAAGCCGGGGCGTGGGGAAAACCCGTCCCCCCCCCTCCAAAAAAAACACGAACTCCCGGGATCTGGGGCTTTGGAACCATTCGGACGGGCCTCGAAGCGGCCCCCCGAGCCTCGCAGGGCGTTTTGCCAAGCCTTCGCAGCACACCTAGGGCGATCAGGGGGGTCATCGGAGACGTCCCGGAGAACCCTAAGACAGCACAAGAGCGCTCCAAGAAGCCGTCATACCCAGAAAGATCGCTCCAAAACGTACCAAGAGGCCTCCAAGAGCACCCCCAAGAAGGCCCCAAGAGGGACAAATTATTTATGTAATGTAGGTTTTTGGTGAATTTGGGGTTCTCCTCTTTTCGGCTTCCCGACGCTCCAAGACAGCTGTCTTCTGGGCGTCCGAAGTCGCCTGGGAGGCTCCCAAATCGGCCCACAACCATCCGAAAGGGCTTCCAGGCAGTCCAAGACAGCCCCAAAACGGCACACCAGGGGTCCAAAATGGCCCTAAGAGAGCCCCATGGCGGCCCAAGATGGCCCCAAGACACCCTCCGAAGCATTCCAAATCGTGACCAGGGCGTTCAGGGAGACCGCGGTTAGAGGCAGGTTGGCGTTAGGAAGCCCCAGAGGCCTTCAGAACACGCCCAGGAGGCCTCCAGAAGGCTTTAAGAAAGCTTGAGAACTTTGATGAGGCTCCCAGAGGCTCTCCAAGGAGGAGCCTCCGCAAAAAAAGCTGAGGAGGATGGAGAGAATGCCCAGGGTATGGCGAGAATGAGGAACAATAAGCATGGATGAAGGATAACGAACAACATTATTATAACGGCAATGCCGGAAAAAGGCAGCAAGGAGTTATCGTGAAAGTGTCCGCTTGACCTTCCTGCCTTTTCCACCTGCATAGCAATCTTCAAGGACCAAGGTGCATGGCGCGAAGCGCCACTGCAGTCTTATACCTCTCTCTCTCTGCCAGCGGAAGGGGATCGGGGCCGCCAGGCCGGTACCTGCGTCCCCCATGGCCGACCCGGGGCTTCGGGAGCGCTCCTGTCCGGGCCAAGGGGCGGCCAAGACGTGCCCAGGGAGGCGCAAGTGGCCCCCAAACCGGTCCTAGACGGCCCCGGGGCGCTCAAAGATCGCCCTTGGACGCTCAAGATGGCTCCCATTGAGCCCAAGAAGCCGCTAGAACGCCCCAAGTTGCTTTCCAAGAGAGCCCCAAGCGGCCAAAATTATGGATGTTGCACAGGGAAGCGTGCCTTTTTAGCATCTACGTCTTTTCGATCTTCACGGCGTGCAAGAGGGTACAAGAGGTCCCCACGACGGCCCCAAGACGGCCCAAGAGGCTCCCAACACGGCCCAAGAGGAGCCCAAGACAGCCCCAGAGGCGGCCAAGGCGTGCTCAAGAGGCGGCCAAGACGTGTCCACGGAGCCCCAAGAAGCTCCCAAATCGGTCCAAGACGGCCCCAGGGCTTTCAAATATCGCCCCTGGACACCCAAGATGGCTCCCATGGAGCCCAAGAGGCCGCTACGACGCCCCAGGAGGCTTTCCGAGGGAGCCCCAAGCGCCCAAAATCATTGATTTGGCAGAGGGAAACGTGCATGTTTAGCATCTACGTCTTTTCGGTCTTCACGGCGTGCACGACGGTACAAGAGGCCCCAAAGACGGCCCCAAGAGGCTACCAACACGGCCCAAGACAGCCCGACGGGCGGCCAAGGCGTGGCCAGAGGGCCCCATGAGGCTCTCAAAACGTTCCATGGCGGCCCCGGAGCGCTCAAAGCTAGCCCGTGGACGCCCAAGACGGTTCTCACAGTGCCCAAGAGACCGCGAAGACGCCCCAAGAGGCCCCCAGGAGACTTTCCAAGAGGGTCCCAAGAGGCCCAAATCATTGATTTTTTTTTATCGGAAAACGTATATTCTTAGCATCTACGACTTGTCGGTCTTCACAGCGGTGACGACGGTACAGGAGGCCCCCAAGAAAGTCCCAAAACGGCCCAAGAGGCTCCAAAGACGTCCCGAGAGGGGGCCAAGACACCCCAACACTTCCCCAAAACGACCTAGAAGAGCTCCAAGACGGCTCCACGAGGAGCCCAAGAGGGGGAGCCCGAACCGAAAATCCGACCCTTCCGCCCCAAAAAGGTCCCAGGAGGCCCCTGGAGGCCCTTTAAGAGGCTCCAAGAGGCCCCCAAGATATCCCCCCAATAGGCCAAACCCAGCGGGGCTTAATGGAGGGGGAAATTCCGATACGCCGAGAGACCCGCAAGGGGTCGATGGCTTCTGGACGGGCCACGAACGCTCGAAAACAACCCAAGACTGCCCCTAGACGGCCACAAAGGCATTCAAGACGGTCCAGGAGGCTGCCGAGAAGGCGACCCAAGGGCAAAAAACATGCATTTCCGATTGGAAAATGAGTATGTTTTGGATATTTGCATTTCAGTCCTACCAGCGGCCGCGACGGCCCCAGAGGCTCCCCAAATGAGCTCCAGACGGCCCAAAAGGCCCCCAAGAGGGCCCCCAGACGGCCTGAAGAGAGCTTCGAGCAGCACAGGAGAGCTCCACCACGGCCCAAGAGATTACCCAGCCCCGAGGGGGCCACTGGAGGATCCCTACATTACATGGTCGGGGAGGGCCCCCAGAGGGCCTCAAGACGGGCTCAGGTCCCCATCGCGGGCGGAGAGGGACCCAGATCGGCCGAACTGGGCTCCCAGAGGGTCCAAATTAGCCTGACGAAGGACCCAACCATATGCAGGTGTGAGTACCGCAATTGTGATTCATTTTTTCGGTGGTGCTCCCTATGAGGCAACGAACCGTGCTAGGGGTGTGCCGAAATGAGTGGCGTAGTACACAACGCGAACGAAAACGATTGATCTGAGTACGTAGGGAGACAGAGCGCGGGTGAATCTGAGCGCGAGGGCATCTGACTGTGAATGAATCTGCGTGCGAGCGAGTCTACGTGCATGAATGCGAGTATGACAAAACACGGTGTCATTGTATATGAATGTCAATCGTTGAACACTGGGCGTGGCCGCCGCAAGGAGCTTCCCCGGGACTCCCCGACGGCATCGCCCGCGCGCCGCGACGCCAATGTCGGCGCGCCCCCCGCGAGGATCGCGCCCGCTTCCTCCCCTTCTTTTACTCCCTCTTTGCCCGCGCACTCAAAAGTCCAAGGCTGCGGGCGCAGCGCAGCGCGGAGTCCCCGCGACGCGCGCAGGTCGCCCCGGAGGGGTCCCAGCGACGCGAGCGGGTCGTCCGCTGCGCGGAGCAAAGAGAGCTAGCTGTCTGGCTGATAGCGGGCGCAGCTCTTGCCGCTGGGCAGAGCGACGACGGGCAAGCGAGGCGCGGAATTCTGACGGTTTCCGACGGTGGTGCACTGGGTGGGAGAGACGCACGCGGACTGCGCCACGGGGACCGTCGGTGGAGCTCCCTATGGGGTCACGACGCGCTGTGCTGGGTGGGGGAGACGCACGCGGACTGCGCCCCGGGGACCTTCGTTGGAGCTCCCTACGGGGCCACGAAACGCTGTACTTGGTGAAGGAGACGCATGCGGACTGCGCCACGGGGACTTCGGTGGGGCTCCAAATGGGGCCACGACGCGCTGTACTGGGTGAGGGAGACGCATGCGGACTGCTCCACGGGGATCTTCGGTGGAGCCCCTTATGGGGCCACGACGCGCTGTACTGGGCGGGGGGGACGCGTGCGGACTGCGCCACGGGGACCTTCGGTGGCGCTCCCTATGGGGCCACGAAGCGCTGTACTGGGTCAGGGAGACGCATGCGGACTGCGCCACGGGGATCTTCGGTGGAGCCCCTTATGGGGCCACGACGCGCTGTACGGGGTGTGGGAGACGCATGCGGACTGCGCCACGGGGACCTTCGGTGGAGCTCCCTATGGGGCCATGAAGCGGTGTACTGGGTGAAGGAGGCGCATGCGGACTGCGCCACGGGGACCTTCGGTGGAGCTCCCTATGGGGCCACGAAGCGCAGTAGTGGGTGGGGGAGACGCATGCGGTCTGCGCCACGGAAGCATTCGGCGGAACCCTTATGGGGCCACGACACGCTGTACTGGGTGGGGGAGACGCATGCGGACGGCGCCACGGGGACCTTCGGTGGCGCTCCTTATGGGGCCACGAAGCGTTGTACTGGGTGAGGGAGACGCATGCGGACTGCGCCCCGAGGACCTTCGGTGGATCCCCCTATGGGGCCACGAAGTGCACTAATGGGTGGGGGAAACGCATGCGGACTGCGCCACGGGGACCTTCGGTGGCGCTCCTTATGGGGCCACGAAGCGCAGTGCGGAGACGCATGCGGACTGCGCCACGGGAACCTTCGGCGGCGCTCCCCGTGGGGCCACGAAGCGTTGTACTGGGTGGGGGAGACGCGCGCGGACTGCGCTACGGGGACCTTCGGTGGAGCTCCCTATGGGGCCACGACGCGCTGTATTGGGTGGGGGGGACGCATGCGGACTGCGCCACGGGG